TTCCAGATAATGAACAGGATGGACAGACTTCCAAACCTCCCTGGGTGTGCAAATTTATGAATGATTGGAATCACGGCTGAGGCACGTGGAAGGAAGTACCATGTTTGTCCTTGTCTACTTGTCCTCCTCTCCCTTGTTACAGCGTCATTCAGTTCAGATTCAGATGAGTTCCTAATGTTTCGAATACATTGACACAACACACGTTCCAACTGTGGGAATGCCAACAGCAAGCAATATGCTACTGAGTTCAAACAAAGGCAAATATCAAACTCTCTGTAGTCTAAACACAAAACCAAAAGAAAGAGAACAAGGACCAACTACGCTAAATTAAAATCTACTGCCTATCAGGGCCTGCAAACTATCTTAACTGATTTTCCTCAAAGCTGGAAACAATTTGCATGGTCTTGGGTGAGAAAAGTAATAGTGTAATACAGGCCTGATTAAGCTATTAAAGAGCTAGAGAGCGGAGTTACGTTATGTTTGAATGGAAGGGGCCCGAACACAACAAACCATAGATAAGCGGGTATTCACAAAGCGTGTACTTGTACACATACTTTGGCAGATGAGCGTTAACGTGACACACTGCAATGCTACCAGAGCGGCAGATGATTCACATTCCCTCAGTCAAAATCATGTCAATCACTCCTGCTCCCTCCCACCCTAAAAATAAGAAAAGAGGAGAAATGTTTGGGTCTTATCTGCAGGAAATAGCGTTTGAGGAAATTACACTCCTGGGCCAGAGCTTAAAAGTGATGGCCGGGCCCCTGCACTCATTACTGAGTCCCCTGACGCGCGGCCTGCCCTTGATCCTCGGCCGGACCCGACAAGGAACGCAGAAGGTAGACTGTGGAGGGCCAACAGAGCTGGGTGGCCCTTGCTCTGGGACGTGTTCAACCATCAGTGTGGTATGTCGGTATGTACTCTGGTGCTCCTGTGCCCGTTCAGGGACCATGGGTTTGTCCTCAACGCCGGACAATCGACACCCTGACCGGGGGAACTCATCTTAGGGAGATGTTAGCAAGAGAAGAAACAAAAACAATCCTTTCTGGCCATATTTCAATGGTCTAGTTGAACAATTAAATGAACAATTAAATTAATTTCTGTTCCCCATGTTTGACTTTATGTGAAAAGATAAGGATTTGTGCTCTGCAATCCCACTGCGAGTTCATTTCTGATCCAACTACATACGAGTTAAAACGTCAACGTTAAGGATGGTTAGAGTTTGAAAGCAATCATTTAATTTAATTTAACATTTACTGGTCTAAACGGCAATATCTTTGTTATTTATTTTATTTTTGTTTTACAGCTATTACAGAACATGACAAACAATTTTTAACCAAAATAAACCATCACACAAACTCATTATAATAAATGTCTGATTTAGCTTTCTTGTTTTGTAGTGTTTTATAGTGTTAAAATGAGCAGAAGGTGAAACAATTATTATCCTATACAACTATTTCCTAACATTTTTTAATTTCAAATTTTTTTTGTTGACTTTTTTGGTTTACAATAAATGCAAAATTAATAGTAAAATCATTACCAAAAACTCTTCAATGTGTATTAAAATGTATATTTAATAAAATAAAATTATAGATTCAATAAAATTTAAATTATAGATCAAGTAAAATTCCTCTCGATATAACATAAAACGTATCAATACTTCGAGATCGAGCTTCTCATTCCTAATTGCTATTTTTTTCCAGAACAAGCTGAAGTGTTTCACACAACTGAAGAGTGTCAGACTCGACATGTGATCCTTAATTGATATTTTCATGAACAGAGTCACGCATGCATATGCTGGGGCTTTCCCCATTGGTAACCATAGAGACCCAATGTCATCAGCCCAGCACATCCCATAGGGAGCTGCCGATCTATTTCCGATACTCGAGCGCTTCTCATATTCATGTATGGGACCCGATTTGTGATGGCACACAAAGCCCAGGAACACTTCACCTGAGAAAAATTACCCCACTCCCTCGCTCAGGGCACTGCACCCCGGGACAGACTTGTGGTTAATACCTGACAATTCCAGGGCAATAGAAACCTGGACTGACACTTCAAAAGCTCAAATATCAGGTTGCTGTCTTCAAAACATTCAAATGTCACACACCTTCGCTGCTCGCCCATTGTGTGGAAGATACAAGATACTACATGCTCGTGGTTGGGAGATGTGCTTTCCACGCAATCTCTTGTTTGATTCATTGACCAGAAGTTCTCACATGTTCTTCAAGTTCATTGAGAGGACTATTAATATGATAGACACCCTGGGGACCTGCACTGTATCCTTAATCCACAGAGACTCGGAAAAGGAAGTCATCGATTCTTCCCACCACTTGCTCTGGGAATGAGCGGACTCACGCTAGACAATTTATGTGGTTGGGAGAGAGGACAACAAGCAGGGCCATTGACAGTCTGGACTTGCAGAGGAGTCACCACAGTAGCCATTTCTTCTCAGAGAAAGAGCCTCCTCTCTGGGGAAGCTGACTTTGACTTTGCTTCCTAACCTCTAGAACAGTGATGGGCAAACTTGGCCCTTCCAGGCCACTTTCCTGCAGAGATTTGATCCAACCCTGATATGACTCACCTGCCTGTAGCCTTCTAGTAGTCTTGAAGACAATGATTAGCTGGTTCAGGTGTGTTTGATTAGGGTTGGAGCTAACCTCTGAAGGAAAGTGGCCTGGAAGGGCCAAGTTTGCCCACCCCTGCTCTAGAAGGACTAGAATCATCGGAGTAAGAGCACAATGGCCTTCCCATACAATGCTGCAGTAGAGGTGGAAGTTGCAGGTGAAAAGTACCATGACACTGCAAACATCAAAGTTATTTCCCTAATTTGTGGTGAGGAAGTAACTCTATATACAGTGGGGCAAAAAAGTATTTAGTCAGCCACCAATTGTGCAAGTTCTGAAATCTTGCTTGTTTGTAGGTGACCAAATACTTATTTTACCGAGGAATTTACCAATTAATTCTTTAAAAATCCTACAATGTGATTTTCTGGATTTTTTTTCTCATTTTGTCTCTCATAGTTGAGGTATACCTATGATGAAAATTACAGGCCTCTCTCATCTTTTTAAGTGGGAGAACTTGCACAATTGGTGGCTGACTAAATACTTTTTTCCCCCACTGTAACTCTATAGAGCTCTTCTAAAATTAGAATATTTTAGATAAATATATATATGAATATAATAAATAAAATATAATAAAATAAAAATTTCAAGTCAGTATTCTATTCAAATGTATTTATAGCACTGGAAATATCATGAAATTGCTAAAACTCACATGATAGGATTTTGCCTGCTAAGCCAGAGTAAATACATTGATTCTTTGTTTCCCATGATTGTGCTTCCTTTGTAAATAAATCATGAAATGCACATTTTCATGGTATATATGCTGCTTCAGTGCTCTATTTCTGCTTGGGGAAAACATTCATATAAAAAATTAAAGATAAATTAAGAATAAACCATGGATTTGAATTAGGACCACTAATTGGTGACCTCAGCTTTATTGCATAATAAACTTTAGTTTTATAAAGGTACATTTAAGACTAATTAAGTAATGAAAATTTGAAGATTAAATTGAAGGGAACCCAATAAGTCAAAATGTTATCCTTATGTAAATGTTTATAGGGAACACACAATGAGTTGTATTAGCAACATTTCCAACCAATATCTATTACTTTTTAATTAATTGTACAGAAAGAAAAAGAAAAAATAGCTAGACCATGCAGTAGAATATTTAAATAACTTTTACTGTACCTTTTGTCACACTGCAAAGAAATCACACTGTTTTTCCTCAGTATTTTGTCATCTTCTAGATACATTTCAAGATACATTTACTTGAGAAGCAAAGTGACAAGATAAGACGTCTTGTTTTCTGTCAAACTGATCAAAATGAAGAGAATTGATTATTAAAGGGGCCATCGAATGCCCATTTTCCGCAAGTAAAGTCTACAACATACTTTGGTTAAAATTTCTCAATGGTAGTGTAAAACAACACCCATTTTACCCTGTAAAAACAGCTTTTTTCACAACAAGCCGTTTCAGTGCATTTCCCTTTAAATGCTAATGAGCTTAAATGAAACTTGCTAACTAGCACATTATTAGGAAAGGCGATTTGCAGAATTCATTAAAAAAACTTAAACTCAATTTTTCTGGAGGTGAAGCGGGAACACGAATGATTCACGCGAACATAGACGCATTTTGGCAGATCGGGGGACACATTTCCTTCAAAAACAAATGTACTCCACTGCGTCTTTAGTGGATCAGATATCAGGAGTAAATGATGACTGCTATGTTCATTATTACATCCAACAACAAAACACATCAATCGCTTAGGAGTCATTCTTTGTCTACATCTGCTCCGGCGTCGAAACAATGACGGACTGATGATAGCTCACTCAGGGTGGGTCTAAGGTAAGACGGCCATGTCAATCAACAATCATGGGAGGGGCCTGGGTCTGTGTGATGTTCAAAAGGAGATGTTATTTATCTGGATTTTAAAAAAGCACTGGTGGATTTCTATCATTATAGGGTGGTTGTGTACACACTGCCAACACACATTTCAGTTCAAACAACATGTAAAAGTGAATTTTGCATCCGATGACCCCTTTAAGATACGAACAATGGGCTCAGAAATATCAACTTAATTCAAAGGGAAAACAAGTTTTCGTAGCTTATTAATAGATATTTGTTCTTGTTTTAAGCATTAAGTCATTTCATTTGGCTTCATTCTTCAAGAATTAATTCCTGTAAATATATCCTAATTTATGTATGTTTAGATATTAGGATTAGAAAACAAAAACACTGAGCATGATATTTATTTTTTGCAATGCAAGCAGCATTTAATGCAATAACTTTATGAATTCATGATTTTCTGCTCTGATTTATGAGATATTAATTTGTTGAAGAGTGAATTAAGGCTTTTTAAGACCTGCAGAAACCCTGCTTTCATTGCATAAACAAAAACGGTTAAAACATTCTTAATTTTTCTTTGATCTACCCCTTTATTTCTCTCAAAAAGTAATCCGATTATGTGTTCTACATTACATGTACCACATTTGCCACCAACCACAGAACAGTTTGTGCCTTTAACAAACTACATTTAAATTAGCAGATACACTGGTTTTATCCTGAAAACCACATCAGGAGCCATACTGACCAGAATGTCATTTCTGTATCAGCATTTTTGTGAGTTTAGTTTGAACACGGATGAAAATACTGCACAGCCAGAGTCTTCCTCTGCTAGTCTGCACTGAAAAACCTGTGTGGCTCTGCACTGATCAGTGTAAACCACTGCATCTAAACAGGGTTACCACACAGGAACTGTGTGCACGTGCTCGCGTATACGTCCACACACTCCAGAAGAAAATGGAACAGAGCTGATGGCCAGCGGTGAGGACCGAGGCATGTTCCCAACTGCTGGATGAAAAGAGAAAGTTCATGTGTCGACACACATACACAAACAGACACACACACACAGTTGCTGTGGAGGATGCTGGTGGTATGCTGAAGCAGAACTTCACATGTGTGTGTGCCTGTGTGTGTGAGAGAGCAGCAGCAGTTGCTCCGGCGATGTGGATGTGCCGTGCAGAAGTTCTCCCTCAGTTAGCCGGCTGTGGTGATCTGGTGCAGACGGTGCAACACGCAGGCAGATGTTTCCTTCATTGGGTCATTGTGCACCGCCAAACAGGGCGCTGTAAAACAATGTGTGCACGAGCTTGTATGTGTTTTCTATACGTTTGTCTTGCATCAAGTTATCAAATCAGCAGTACACGTCCAACCAGACTCATGGGATTGCACAAGTCAATATTGTCCTGTCAAAACTCCACATGCCACTTAAACAATAAAAACAGCAGTGAAAATGTTTGATAACAAAGGGTTTTGATTTGATCAATATGTTTCCATCACCCTGTTTTTATGCGCATTTTGAAGCATCTAATCAGTAAGGAGTAACAGAAACACCAAATTTCAAAAAAATAAATTTGCTTGCTTGAGGTGGTTTTTGACTTGTATGACAAAGGGTTAATGCAAATAATAGCGCATTTGCTGAATAAATTCATCCATGTGCATCAAAAAAGTCCTGCGCTATAGGACAACACAACCTGACTAGCAGACCGATCTTGTTGCACAGCATCTGAAATGTTGTTATGGTCATCCTAAAATACCCAATCAAAGTCTGTCATCGAAGTATTTCTGTAGGCCTATAATTACCTCCTAGAACAACACATGCCACCCAACCAATAAAATTACTTATGTAAATGTTTGATAACAAAGAGTTTTTGATTTGATCAATACCTATGTTTCCATAACCCTGTTTTTATGCGCATTTTGAAGTATCGCATCAGAATTGTATGATGGAAACGCCAAATGTCAGAAACAAACTCGTAAACGTTTTTAACACTTGCTTGAGGTGGTTTTTGACTTGTGCGAAAAAGGGTTAATGCAAATGCTAGGAGATGGAAACGCATTTGCTGAATAAAGTCCATCAAAAAAGTAATGTGACTTTGCGCCATGGGATGGCATAACCTGACTAGCAGACCGATCTTGTTGCACAGCATCTGAAATGTTGTTATGGTCATTCTAAAATGCCTGAGCAAGGCTTTCTGTATAATTGCATAATATCACGACTGCTTTCCTAAACAGGAGCATTCACCTCCGAAAGCAGTTGTGTTTCGTCTGCTCGCTCTGAGGTGCAAGTCATTACATATGTATTATTATTATATTATTATATTATATTCAGTGGCTTCTCCTACTTTTCTTTGTGATATTTAGAGCCAGTTTATCAGGAAGTGACGATTTTGTTCTCTTTGACTCGTTGGATGGAAACGATGCATATTCGCAAATGTTTTATGTGATATTACAATTTTGTGCACAAGTTAAATTCGCAACTTTGGATGGAAAAATTATCATCATGGCAGTATTTAAATGACTCTCATTCAGAAAATGATGGACAAGACAGTTTTCACAATTTCGTTTTTGTAAAATGTTGATGCATGTTTAAATTTATATATACATTTTTTGATTTTGCACTTTCTTTGGAACTAGATCAGATTTTCGCCAACTAAAATTAGATGCCATTTTAGAGTAAAATCGATTAATTAATAAATATGATATAATGAAATACTGACATACATTTTTTACTCTTCAAAAGAAAAATTATATGACTAAGACAAAAACTATAAAAAATTTACACAGTACCAATCCAAAAATACACTTATGTTAAACACAAGACTGTCATAATAAAATGGCTACTATGTTTCAACCAATCCTAAAAACCAAAAGAAGTTGGAATACATTTGTGCCAAACTTTTAAAAAAAAGATCAGTTTGCTTTGCACACTAATGAGTGTTGCTAATTACTGCAGGTGCACATCCTTGAACTCAGATATGATTCAACATGGTGGCAAAAACTCTTTTAAACAGGATGGTGCAATAATATCAGAGTTTATTACCTGGGTTAATCTTGTGGAACACTTGGAAAATTTCAACCAAGAAAAAATGCAGCTGGATCTCAAAATATCCCATATACCGTTTTAAACCCTGTAGGGAAATCACGCCAACCCTATGAAGAACCTGCCATTTTCTCTAGCGTATTTAATGGAAGAGGAAGTGATATAGGCTGGTCTCCAAATCTGACATTTAAAGCAATACCAGCAATGGCACAAAATCTAATGAGACAGATGGGTCCAATAAGCGGGAGATTGGGTGGCATGTCTGAACCGCAGGGAGAACTGACCACAAGGAACGACGCGCTAAAGCGTTCCAGGAGAACGTGTAGCCGGGGTGGAGAGGGGTTTTAGAAACTGTGGCTCCAGCACAGAGCTCAACTGGAGCACAGCTGCAGCCGACAGCTGCACAGACCCGATCCCAGGAACTGAAAAGAGTGCAAGTGCAAATGTTCAAGTCAAAAGTGTCAAGTCATTCTCACCAGAGGTTTCTCTTTTAAATGACACACATGCACACACATTCGCACATGCACACACACTCCGTTCTACTAGCTTTATAAATATTAAGAGACATTTATACTCCAAATTCACCAAAAGACAACTATAACGTGTTTATTCCCTACATGCATCAATATAAATAGCTGTTTTGCTTTACTTTAAAACTGTAGCTTGTCACACTATAACCACTGCTTGTTGGAAAAAATAGCTTGTTACTGTAAAATGAGCTACTGTCATGCATGTAAGCTACTTCTAGTTAGCGACTTCTCAACGCTGTCTTTAAGCAAAGACACACAACTTCAGAGTTATAATGTGAACTCCTGGATTGGCAGATTAAAGCGGCACCATCTTTAGTACAATCCAAACAAGTGACTCCAGTCCAAGCAAGAGTTTATATGTTCTCATTGGCATCCAGACAGAGGAACTGGCAAAGCGCTTTAAGCCATATGTTCCACTGTTCATAATTACCTCTGTCTATACTGAATTTATTTCATAAGGTTACAGACAACCTCCGCTTCAGGATTTACAGTGAATTATTGCATATGAAAAGAGGCAAGAGTAAATGAAAGGAGGTTTAGTAATGAATGGGATTTATAAATAGCATGGAAATCCCTCATGAGAACATTTACAGGAATTCAACTGTAATTCAGGTTTCAGTGGTTCAGCATGTTTAAGTATCAGATCATTTGTGATACCGAGAATCTTCACTGCTGTTGCTATTGGTACGATGGTTGGCCAATGTCTAGGTCAGAGTCTAAAGGTCTGAGTTAAAAATGAAAATAAAAAAGGAAATAGTTTCCTCATAAAGTCAGATGTCAGATAAATAATAAAAACTGTATATACAGTAGTGGTCAGAAATATTGGCACCCTTGGTAAATATGATCAAAGAAGGCTGTGAAAATAAATCTGCATTGTTAATCATTTTGATCTTTTATTTAAAAAATTCACATACAGTATCTCACAGAGTACACCCCTCACATTTTTGTAAATATTTTATTATATCTTTTCATGTGACAACACTGAAGAAATGACACTTTGCTACAATGTAAAGTAGTGAGTGTACAGCTTGTATAACAGTGTAAATTTGCTGTCCCCTCAAAATAACTCAACACACAGCCATTAATGTCTAAACCGCTGGCCACAAAAGTGAGTACA